CCCCGTAATCATTTGAAGTCTTCAAATGTCTGTAATCATCTGATGTCAACTAAATTCACCCGTAGTCATTTATAGGTTTTAATACACAGTCGCCTAGAGTCGCCCGTAATCATTTGTAGCCTTCAATGCCTCTACTCATCTGATGTCAACTAAATTCACCCGTAGTCATTTATAGTCTTCACTAATGCCCGTAGTCGTCTAAAGTCAGTTGTTTGATAAAGTCATTTGGTGACACCATGTACAACTTGAAGTCTGACATACGAAATTTGTGGTTACTATGCAGTAGAATTATCTGGAAAAATCCAGATGGAATGGAGTATGTACTAATTGAGGATGTGTTCAGTCTTCTTGGAGGATTGGAAATTGCTAGTAGTGTAAGCTCACTGTACTACGCATATTTGATATCTTAATAACAACACAACTTCATAATTCATTTGACTACGTTTAACTATGACACATGTGATAGATGCATATTGCCATATATTAACCAGACAACAGACCATGGGTTGTTTCAAACCCATGTATGAAACTCAGTTGGCAGGAACTAGCTATGTATTCCCATCTATGTTGCTGGTAACTATTCCTTTTTTTTTTTTTTTTTTTTTGCATATGATAAAAAATTATCAACTAACACAAATATATTTCAGAGCACACTAAGACAATCAAGTGACCAAACCTTTGTACCCCCGAAGGACATAAACAAACATCGATACCTGATTTTCCCATTGCACTCCAAAGGCAATAAAAACACAAGTTCCGACCATTGGACGTTGCTTATATTGGACAATCAACTCAAAGAGTGGAAGTTTTACAACTCGCTCAGGTCTCGAGTCAATAGAAAAGACGTATACGTCGATGATGCATCAGACATGGTATAATAAATTTGCAAGGTTCTAATTCCTCACAAAAATCAATTCATATCCTTTGTAACGCAATTTTTTTTCTACTCTTTCTCAGAAGCAATTCATTGAGAATACTATGAAAGCGTACAACCTAACGGGTATACCAATTGACAAACCAATCATCGAAGTTGAAGATGGGCACAACAAAAACCTGATTCGAAGGACTGTGGAATATTTGTGTTGTATATTATCAGGGACACCTTTATGCAAACTGAACTTATTAACGAAGAAGTCGTTGAATGGGTGACAGACCTGAGGCGACTAATTACCGAAACCTTTTTGAATTTCAAGATTAAATGAACGATTACTTTCGTGATCTTAAATGTTATTTTTTAAATGTTGAACTATCGGTCTAGGCGTTGAACACTGTTATTATCGGTGTGTATTATTGAATATTTTTTTCCTAGGGTAATAAAATGTTGACATGTCTACAACTTTTGAGCTTTTAATGCGAAGTTTCTGTACTTATTTTCTTCTCCATTTATTCGGAGCATGAGTTACAATGTGAGTGTGCACTAGATTCAACTATATTTTTTTCAATATGTTGTCTACGATAGACTACGTACACATACTGCGCTTTCATATTTAATAACGAGTTATCTATGATATTTAATTATGTGTTTTCTATGATCGTACTGCCATCTTATCTAATTATGGGTTGTCTATGAAAGACTACGTAAACATATTGCCAACGAAAATTAACCATGAATGGCTATTACTATCATCATTCACAAGCAAACTGTGATATATAGACAATCAATATACTAGTGCAAAAATAGAAAACAAATAGAACATTGAAAACGATTAAAAAAATTTATCAGTAACTTTTCATAAAAGAAAAAAAACAAAGCAAATAATAAGTGTCAATTCTAAAAAAAAAAGTACCAACACGTACATCACCTTAAAATGGGTGTCTATCAAAAAAATTCAAATGCCAAAAAAATCAAAGAGGTGCCATGCATGTTTTTTTGTTGTGGTTGCCAATGTGATTACACCTACTACATTTCATTTTCCTTGCGATGCTCTCGCCTCTGGATGGAATTCTCTTAACCCTCGGTCTACCACGTTGCGGGTGATGATCGGGAGCACCAATCATATTTTCATCAACAACTGCTCGCTTCACAAACGGATGAATGGAATAAGAGTATGTTTTTCTATAGGATTCTGTATATAGTAATTTGTCAATATAATCGTACTTCAAGTTAGAAGACTTGAAAAGAACGCATGCAGCATGTGCGCATAACACCCCACTAATTTGCCACATTCCACAAGAACACGTCCTCAAATTAACATCAACAATAGCATTCGGACTGCACATAACCTCATATACGTGCTCTGAAGATTTCCTAGCAAACCATACCCTACCTTGCTGCACGAGGTCATTCACATTAATGTCAACATCATGACATAATTTCGTTGCCCACCCCTTGGCATCCTCGGACCTTGTGCACATCCACATCATCAAAATACTCCGAATACCGTCAACAAGATTCGTAATGGGGAGCCCCCGAATACTAGTAGTCTTACCATTCCATGATTCAACCGCATTAGATGTCATCTCACCATATCTTGCCCCTTCAAAGTATGCACAACTCTATTTATTGATTGGTAAATCCGCTAAGAAATTAGCAACCCTCGTTCCTCCATTCCTCACAAACTCACTAAATTTTATATCAAATTCTTGCCTAGTTGGGGCATAAAAATATGCATTAAATTGACATAACATAGACTTACGAAAGTCAGAAGGGCACCCCCTGAATTTGTGCAGCAAATTCTTCTGCAAGTGGGTCAAGCAATAAGCATGTAAACTTTCCGGAAAAATATTTTTTATCCCTTCGATAATGCCATGGTTACGATCAGACCGAAATGTATATGAACGATCCGTACCAATAACATCCCTCAAGTGAGTTAGAAAATATGCCCAATTGGAATCGTTCTCTTCACTAACTATTGCAAAAGCTACCGGAAATAAGCCTGTGGACGAAATTTTTTTTCAATAAATAGGCGAAAATGACATAGGAATATATATATATATATAATATACTACATTTAACATTGTCATATAAATTCTATTGTAGTCTTACCATTATCACCATATATAATATATATAACTGTGTCATATAAATTCTATTGGAGTCCCCTATGTTTACCCTTTAAAAAAGTTCCATCAACACATAATAAAGGTCGACATGCCTTAAAACCATACAAGCAAGCACCAATGGCAAAAAAACATCGTTTAAACTTCATGGACTCTCCATCGACATCAATATGATAAGCGCTGCCCGGGTTACTACTTACGAGTTCTTCAAAATAAGATGGAAGATGTGAGTAAAAACTTGAATGGTCCCCAAACACATGCTCTTTCCCAGCTGACACAGCCTTCCAAGCTATGTAATAGTTTATATCAAAACCATAATTCAGTTTCGTACTCACAATAATATCATTAGGTGATGTGTCTGGCATCTCACGAACATCATTGACTATTAAATCTGCAATAATGTTGGATGTCAACCTTCGCTTACTTGACGTACCGAATCCGCATCCACAAGTATGATGTTTTTCATATTTTCTAATGTAAAAAAATCCATTTGCCTTCTCAATGGATGCGTGAATCCTCCACATGCAATTTTTCGATGATCTATACTCACAAACAGCAGTAACCCTTACTCGCTCATTCTTCACATAATTGAAATCAAATCCAACTTCAACCGAAAATTTGCAAAGAGCCTTCCTAAATTCTGACGCATCACCTGCAAAAACTTGTCCAACATCCTTAATTAGATTTGCCCAACTCATACTCAATAGATGTCTTTCAGGGGGAGTCACAGTATTCAGCCCACCGTTGCACATTCTCGGTTGCATAAATTGAATAATTCTATCACTTGGCGTAGTTGGTACATTTATATGTTGCTGCGCAACAACTCCACTTTTTAGTTTAATGTTTATCTCAATACGTTCAATCGAAAGTTGTCGGATCAACGAGAACATATATCCAACGTCGTCATCATCACCCAACATACCCTCCCCGTTGCCACCTACTGAATAAGTGAGAATCATATTGCTCCTATTTAACGTATCCCATTTCGCTCTAACAAATCCAATCAATGTATCAAAATCAAATTCCAACAAACATTTCTTCACAGCATAAACTCCGTCAAACTTCAGCACTAACATCAGGTTGGTGGCCATAACACAAAAATGATCTGTAACAAAAAAACACCACTAGCCTCATGAATAGTGTGTTGTACACCCCACACAAACAAGAAACAGTCCTACAAAAATAAGATGACTACTACGACCATCTAGATTACATGCATACAAATATAACAAAAAAAAGGAATGATATTAAACTAGATTATACATAAAGTACCTAGTCTACTACATCCATCTTCCTATAAACATTTGTCCATAAACAAAAACATATACACGACTGTGATTTGTTATCATATTGTGCTAGGTACACTGAACAACTACAATCATCGTAACGACAAAACACATTTTTCCCAATTTTAAAGCAAACATCAACAACAATCATTATATTTTTATGAAATTAGCCAAAACACAACATGAACAAATCGTACCAACATAAAAGACGCAAACTATATAAGTGATATTTTGTTAATATTAACCTCGATTATGCAATTGAGATTTCCCTTCACGATCCGGTTGTTGTACTAAAAAATCCCGACGCAGACTTTAACCTCCGCGTTTGATTTCACCAAAGATTTTCTTCGCACAAATGTTCTCCGCGTTTTTTTCACCAGCAAGATGTTCTGGGATTTTTTTATAAACCAAAATCACGCATATCACGTGATATGGCGAGATTTGTGTGGTACGTGAATGGTAACGTAGAGTCACGTTTGTTCCGTCAATAGAAGTAACTGTCAATTTAAGGGTACTATAGGAAACTACTAATCACAAGGGGGGTACGGCAAATAAAAAAAAAATCTAGGGTTGTTTGAATAAGGGTGTATTTGATATGGTACCTATACTATATTATTTTCCATTCTAAGGGGGGATCCCATATTTTCCCTTAATAGATTAACCCAAATCTTGTTAACCTAATTTTTCATTTTCCCTTTCTCATAACAAGATTGCTTCTCTTCCTCTCTTACTTTTTATCCGCCGCTCTGCTTCTTCTTGTCAAGTCGCCGACGCTCAGCTTCTCTTTGTCAAGTTGTCGTCGCTCAGCAGCTCCGCCTCTCCTTGTGAAGCCGCTATATGCTCTTGGTGCAGTTGTAATCGATCATTATTTTTACTTGAGAACCTTATAGGACATTTTTCGTTTATTTAATGTTGAGATCTGTGAAAAAATCCGAAGAAATTGTGTTTGTGTATTTTTTGTGGGTTTGTCTGTGTTATTTTTGTTGTTTGTTCAAGAAATTTGTAAAATTTTTGAAAAAAAAATCGAAAATGACAGATTCCGAAAAAATCCCATTTTCCGAAATTTCCGAAAAAATCGGAATCGGATTCTGTTCTTGAATTCCGAAAAAATCGGAATCGGTATTACGGTTCCGAAAAAAATCGGAAATTTTCCGAAAGCCCCGTATCCGATCCGATCCGTCTGATTTCCACCCCTAATTGTGACAATGGATTTTATTTTTCAATTGATCTCATCATTATTTTTTTTTGGGTAAATAGCATTTAGCCCACCCGTGGTTACAAACTTTTGCAGATGACCCCTTATGCTTTTAATATCAGCACACAACCCCCCGCGGTTGAAGGGCGTAGCTTCCGTTAGTTTTTTCGTCAAACTTAACTGCAAGTCAAACGTCAAAGTATTTTTTTTTGCAGATGATGACCCCCTTGTGCTTTCATTTTCCTTTTCATTTTTGCAGATGACTCCCTTGTGCATTTATTTTTGCAGATGACCCCCTTGAAGTTTAATGCACGCGGTTAAGTTTGATGAAAAAACTAACGGAAGCTATTCCATAAACCACAAAAGGGATATGTACTTATATTACAAGCACATGAGGGTCATATGCAAAAACTTGTAACCTCAGGGAGGTTAAAATGATATTTACCTTATTTTTGTCATTTTTTTATTTTTTTTTATTTTTTTTTATTTTCTATACTACCACGTGGATGTCCAACCTATTCTATCTTATTGAAATCGGGTAACAAACATTACATGTTATTTAAACAAGGTCAAATCTCATTAATGGTCCCTCATCTTCACATTTAGTCCCACTTTAGTCCATAATGTCTCCATCAAGAATTGTCTCATTTTCATCATTCATCTCTATAATCCATCTCATTATCATTCCTTGGTGTGTAAATTTGTTATGTTTAACATAATCTTTTTAAAACAGAAGAAATATTCCATTGTTAGAATTATTTTTGATATTTTATGATTTTTTTCAATAAATAATAAAGTTGTAATTTAAAAATAATATTTGAAACCAACAAAATATAACTTATAAAAATATAACTTAAAAAACTACTATTTTCCAGTGTTCTAAAAATCGGCCGAGGCGGCCGATTAATCGGTCTTCGAGGTGGAGGCGGTCCAAAACCCTTACGATTTTAGTGTAAAGGTTTGAAAAATCAATTTTTTGTCTGTGAGGCGGTTTTAGGCGATTTGAGGCGGTCCGAGGCGGGTCAAACTCGGTGGCAAAAATCGGTTTTTTTTTTTTTTTTTTTTTTTTTATATAATTTAAAATAAAAGTTGGATTTTAATAAAAGAAGATATAAGTTTATGCCTTATTTTGTTTATGTTGATGGTTATTGTTAAAGAACCAATAATGTATGCCAAGAATGTTCAAGAATAAATGTAAATTAAAAAAAAATGTTTTTTTATTTATATTTTATAAGGATATTTATGTATTATGATATTATAATTATTAAACTTTTATTATGTTATTAGGATATATACATGATGGAGATATAACTATGTTTAAATATCTTTTTATATATGTTTGGAGTATTTATAAATAATATTTAGAAATATATTATATTAAATTTTAAAAACCGATTTATTTCCGATTTATCACCGATTAATCATCGCCGCACCGATTAATCGTGAGTCGGTGCCTGACCGACTCGGACCCGATTACCGCTTTTTACAACCTTGCTATTTTCACAAAATATTAATTTATATTAATATAAAAACGGATCATTTATTTTGTGGATATATGAGTTGAATTAATGTGTCGTCTAAATATATTCTCTATCAAAAAATTATTTATATTTTTTGTGATCTTATGTTATTATTTGAAGAAGTAATTCAATTATATATGTTTTTCTAGTATCTATTAATTTATTTAAAGTTTATTATAAATAATTATACGAACAGAATATTCCATCCAATAAATAAAAGATTTCGTTAAAGTTAACTAAATTTTACAACAAATGACTATATTGAGATAGATTATAGAGTTCAAGGATGATAATGAGATAATTGGAACACGATGAATTAAAGAGGAACGAAACACTATTATGAGGGACTATTAATGAGATTTGGCCTTTAAACAATTGTTTGGAGTTAGGAATACAATACAACCTCTACTTTATGCTCGAAAATGACCGTCGAACATATCTAAAAAGAATATCAAAGATGAAAATCTAAATGTTTAAATTTTTATTATCCTTATTGGCTTAAGGGTAAATTACGGATACCCTTTTATATGAATGAATTGACTAAACTACCCTTTTATTAAATAAACAAATTTTGGATAAATTACAATTGGGTAAGAAAAAATATTACATTTACTTCTCTGTGGGTATATTACACTTATCCCCTAGGGATAGATTTGGAAATTCATATCAAATATTCCATGAAATGTAGAAGATTCCATTAATCATAGCTTCCTAAGGGTATAGCTGTTAGAAAGGGCAATAGCTGAGGGAGGTATTTGTAATTACCGATACCACATTGGTGTGTAATTTGTTTGGTAAGGACGCTCTAATTTGACCATATTATAATTGAAAGAAAAAAAAAATCCAAGTATGTTTAAAACATTGAGAAGAATTATAAAAAAAAATATTAATAACTCATTGAATATTTATTAGAGTAAATAGCACTTAATCCCCTTGTGGTTTGGGCATTTTACACATGACCCCCTTGTGGTTTGAAATTAGGCACATAACCCCCTTGTGGTTTTGAAATTTTGCACATGACCCCCTTATGGTATGGAATTAGCACATAACCCCTTGAATAGAAAACTGAAAAAGACTAAACCCCTATCAAGTCAAAAGTTCTTGTTTTAATTTAAAAATAATTATTCTATAAAATAAAAGGCTTAATGTATTTTTTTGTAAAATGAAAAATATAATATATTATCGTGTTTTTTTTTTTTTTTTACAGCACAAAAGGTATATAATACTAGTTATTGTAAGATTGACAATTTATTCGATTTTAAAAATCAATTTGAAAATCTTTAACATGTCATTAATTATGATTATTATATTACTATTTTCTATATAATATATTATAGGGATAATTAGCAAGACCCCCCTCATCTAGGTAAATGAGTTAAGAAAACCCCCCTCCAAAAAATAATTAGAGAAAACCCCTTACCTAATATCCTACCCAAATATTATTTAATAATTCCCAAACCACCCTTATTACCCCTAACCTATTGCCGTTCTCTTCTTTTTTTCTCGTCCTCGTCTTCTCGTCTCTCTCTCTTCTGCCGTTTTGCCGTTCTCTCTTCTGCTTTTCTCGTCTTCCCTCTTCTCGTCTTCTCTCTTCTCTTGGCAATTACCTTCGTCGGAGATTGCTTCCGGTCAGGCAGATCTCGAAGATTTGACCGTTAATCGAAAGCTGACTGTGTGTGTGTGTGTGTGTGTTTTTACAGTGTATGTAATCGTCCCAGGTGGGGAGTGTGTACTCGGTGACCGGTGGTAGTGACGGACGATTATTGGGATTGTGTACTCTATTCATGAGTGATGGTAATGATGGTTGTGGTGGCGGTTTTGAGTGGAGGATTGCGATGGGTCTGTTGGTGGCGGCGGTTTTGGGTGGAGGATTGCGATGGGTTTGCTGGCGGCGGCGGTTTTGGGTGGAAGATTCCGATGGGTTTGCTGAATTCGCGCAGAAAAAGAAATTCGCGCAGGCAGGGCCTTAATCGACTACGTGTGTTTAATCGACTATGTTCAATAGTCGATTAAGGCTTAATCGACTATGTTCAGTAGTCGATTAAGGTTAACCGACTCCAGTTGTTAATTTTTTTTTTGATTTTTTGTTTATTGATTCCAATGTATAAATCAATTACAATGTTTGTATATTTTTTTTTTAAATATAGTTGATTTTGCATTTTTTTTGTAATTATGATTTGTTATTTTTAATAGCTAAAATTTTAATCAACTATGCATTAATAAACCTGATAGAGAAAAAAATTAAAAAAACCAAAAAAAGTTTAAAAACAAAATTAGAAACAAAAAAAAATTAAAAAATTAAAGATTTTCCTTAATCGACTATGAAGCATAGTCGAATTAAGACTAATCGACTATGCTCCATAGTCGATTAAAAAAACGGAAAAAAAAAATTAAATAAAATCCTGGAGCGCTGACCCAGTGATGAGGTGGCGGGCGGGGGTAAAGCTGGAAAATATAATAGCTGAAAATGGGTGTGGACTTTTCTCAAATGGACTAAAATATTTTGGGCCTCCCTCAATTAAAAAAAGTAGTGTGGGGGTTTTCTCAAAGAGCGCCTATATTATATTATAGTTGTTATCGAACTTTAATTTTTTTAAGAAACAAAGTCTTTATTTCTTTTATGGAAAATTCTAAAAAAACATTTCTCTATTGTTGAAATGAAAATGAAATTAAAAAAATATATATATATGTGTCGTAAAATAGAAAAAATACAATAATATATTATATTTATCATTTTACAAAAAAGTACATTAATCTTTTCATTTTATAGAATAATTATTTTTAAATTAAAACAAGAACTTTTGACTTGATAGGGGCAATTTAGTCTTTTTCAATTTTTTATTCAAGGGGGGTATGTGCTAATTTCATACCATAAGTGGGTCATGTGCAAAATTTCAAAACCACAAGGGGGTTATGTGCCTAATTTCAAACCATAAGGGGGTCATGTGCAAATTCGCAAACCACAATGGGGTTAAGTGCTATTTACCCTATTTATTATTACAAAAACAAGCTAAAATCAGTCAACTACTAAAATAACTAGACTTTGCCAAAGTCTTCAAACTAAATCTTAAATTTAAGGAAAAAATAAAATAAAAATAGACTCTGCTAAAACACAAATCCCTCGTCAAATCCTGTAACCATTTCTTGAAAATCCCAATTCGAGAAATGGGGTTGTTTGATTTGGAAGAACAATTTGCATTCTATGGAGCATATCACAGTAACCCAGTAAACATAGTATTACACATGATCTTTGTCTGGCCGATTGCGTTCACACTTATGGTTCTTTTGTATTTTACGCCGCCTCTGTTCATCCACCCCCAAATTGATTTTGGGGGTCTTAATTTCTTGGTATTGAATTATGGGTTCTTGTTTGCTGTAATTTACGGCGCGTACTATGTGATTTTGGACAGAAAAGCTGGCTCCTTTGCTGCTTTCCTGTGTTTTTCTTGTTGGCTTGGCAGCAGCGCTCTTGCTCATCGGCTCGGCTTCTCTTCGGCTTGGAAGGTCATTATTTTTAATTGATTTTTTGCTCTGGGCAATTGTTCTTTATGTTGTTTCAGTGTTGGTTTTGTTTTTACTCGTCTATTTCGGTTTCGGGTTTTGGGTTTCGGTTTCGGTTATGGTTTCTTGGATGAGATGTTGTGCTTGCAAATTGCAATAAAAGAACTTGTTTGTGTTAGAATTTAGAAAGGAAATAATTATTTATAATCGTAAACATCAATTTGTTTCGCACATTTATTTGTCGGCATCTTTTGACATTTCTTTTTTTCTGGAAAACTTTGATTGTTTGCAAATCTCGATTTTCTTGTTCACTAGGATTTTTCGGTTCTTAATTTAGCTCTTTCATAGTCGTGGTGGGTATTTTTCGTAACGCGCTTTATCTCATTGAATTCTAGATATTGTACTAAATGATACAATATTAGTTTTTCTGATGTTCATCTTATTCGAACAACAATATGTCAAGGCACACCACTAGTTTATAGACTAACGCCTCGTTTGGTTGGGGAGATTAGCCATGATTAACTAAATAATTGGACTTTGTTAGATGTTTTTGTTGGGTCGACCTGCAAATATTATGTTATCATAACTTATCTTGCCTTTTAGGGATTTTTTTTTTGTTGGACGTCTCGGGTCCGATAAAATAATTGAGTTTTCATTAGATTATTTGGCTGATCTTATCTTGGCAACCAAACGCGGCCTAATACTACTGAACCTTATACTTCCTTCAGTATAATATTCATTTGTTAAATGTTTATATCAGGGTTCAACGATTGAATTATTAAATCCTATTGTGTTTGAAAAAGTATGCATCGAAATCTTTCATGTTGAGAGTGTAATGAAATTCAGTTCACGATTTAGTACATGCTTGATGCTTTAATATTTTCCTTCTATTTCTAAACGAGATTTCAATTGCATCACTTGGAATTTGATGCATCAACGTATCCGAAGGAACCCTCGTGTAGAACACGTCTTCTTGAAAAAAAAATCCTCGGGGGGTATAATTGCATTCAATCATTTTAATTCCCTTCAGTGTGGTAAATTAAAGGTGCAAATGCATTTTGGCTATGATTGAATCAAATAAAACGAGTAAATTAGTGAAAATGCTTGTTTAAATACCAAAATTTGTTTTAATGCTCGGGAGTTTTAGAGAGAGAAAGTAATTTTTTGAATGAACGGTATTCGTAAAATTAGACCCGTAAAAATCATTTCAGATATTTGAATGTATCATTTATCGGCGTCAAATTTTATGTTTAGATGTCGTTTTGCTTAGGGTCTTGTTAATTAATTTAAGACAATGATCGAATGATGTATGTTACACTTTGAGATAAAAATTTATATTTCATCCATTTTGTAATGGTCGGAAGATATTCATCACTTTAATATTTTAGTTACTTTCTGACGATTTGACGATCGTTTTAGCAGGTTGTTCTGGCGTCTCAGATACTGTGCTGGACTGGTCAGTTCATCGGCCACGGTGTATTTGAGGTCATTATTCGGACGAATTATCATCCAGCATTTATTTATTTATTTATTTTTCGACATATATATAATAAAATATAAATTTTGCAGAAACGAGCGCCTGCTCTGTTTGACAACCTTGCTCAAGCATTCCTCATGGCACCATTCTTTGTGCTGCTCGAGGTACATTATCATATATTGATAATATTTTTATTTAAAGATTGAGCAAATATAAATAACTAATTATTGTGTGTGATCGAAAGGGACTGCAATCTGCATTTGGATACGAGCCGAATCCTGGATTCCATGCTAGAGTACAAGCCAAAGTAGATGCTGAAATCAAAGCTTGGAAGGACAGCAAACTCAAGAAAACTTCTTAACAAAATTGTTTACTGCGATTTCTTTCCCACACACATTGCATAGGCCCGATGCCTATTTCTACATAATAAAGGCGGTGGTTTGGAGCAGCGAATCGATCCGCCGAACGTAATTAATAGTACGATTAAGATTAGTGCCTAATGAAGTTTCTAGTACAATTATGAATATAAAAGACTAGTCGAGAATTCTCTAGAATAGAGAAGTTCTTGCTACTCTTAATTCATTTAATTTGGATCTTCTGCTTGTTCCTAGCCTTTTCCAAGTGAGGTTTTCTCGGAGTTTGCATAAATCGACTCACCACTCCGACGGCAAATTATTTGTATGTACATTTCCTTCGGCATAACTCAATCGTGCATTTACGTCAATGGGGAGTAGAGATAGGTTTGCGTTCCGTCATCCATACTTTTCAAGAAACTCTTTAGCATACTTATTTTGGCATAAAAATATCCCTTTGCTGATTTTTTCTATTTCGAGACCGAGAACGTTCTTTAATTCTCCAAGTGCTTTCGTGTGAGAACGTACTGATAAGTTGGCTTGTACTTGATGTATTTCCTTCTCGTCATCTCCAATTAGTAATTTATCTCCCTAATATCCCTCCTAATTTGTCATTATGAAAGTTGCCTTGAGCCTAAAACATAAAACTAATCATTATAGAGTTTCTCAGAGTAAACAATAAATAAACTTTTAGTTGAGGTGATCATTCAACATGGTATCAGAGCCGAGTTAAATAAACGGTCATGAGTTCGAATCCCAGCGTTATTCATTTCAAATATTTCAAGTGCAAGCCTTCAAATATAATTCGTCAGTGACGTTGCATTAAAGCCCAGAAAGGGGTTATATTCCACATATGGAAAATATTAATTAAATTACACGCTCTTTAGTCTTTACTCTTTAGATGGTCCATACACAAGTATATTTTCAACATAGTTAACACAACACATTTATTTAGTACTTCGTCGCATTTGGAAAACTCGTTAGTCCGCTTTCCTGTAAATATAACTTGTTTCTTTTCTCCTCTAGAAGGTACGAATACACTACACAGTTACATACTTTCTTTTCATATAATACGTCTAACGTGAGTGTCGGAGTCTTTAGAACGCAGAATTACCAAAACCTACTAGATCCTGCGTTCTTCTTGCAATAAAATTCTGAAACCATCAAATCTTGTGTTTGTCGCCGAAACAAAAATAAATAAATCAACTCCCAAAAGGAAGGCATGGAAAAAAGCTTGAAAAGGGTGGAGCCTGGAGGTAGAAAGAAAACAAGAATGGTCATCGGAAATAATTCTACTTTCTAATTTTTCCAAATTTCTTTGAACCGATATTGGTTTATATATGTTACTAGTAATTCACCCGTACGATTTTAATGACTAAAATACGTTGATCATGTAAATCAAACTAATGCGATTCATGTGGGTAATATAAAAAATAAAAATATGTTTTAGATAAAAAATCGAACGAAAACTTTGAATAGTTGATATATAATACGTTAAAATCTAAAAAAATTAAAGACAATATCAATTTCATTTTATTTAAGTATTGAGATAAACAAAATAAATGATAAAAGAAAATATAAAATAAGAAAACTGTGCTATAAAAATAAAATATATTATTTGACCCAAGTTTGTTTATTTATGCATAATCCGAGGGAACCACATATAACTACCATTTATATCTTTAATTAGTTAGTGATAAGTGATGACATGAAATAAAAATTGTCAATTGTTAATATATTACTTATTTTTAATAATATAATTTAAACGTCAACTGTATTTTCATATAAAATAATATCTATTAAAAATTGGTAATTAGTTGATATATGAAAATATTCATTTAAAAAAAGTATATTCATGTATTTTCATATAAAATAATATCTATTAAAAATTGATAATTAGTTTATATATGAAAATATTCATTTAGACAAAAAAATATATTTCAAGAGATCTCTTATTGAGATATTAAAATAAGTGATCACACGAGAAAGAGTCATTTCGTTTTAAGTTGAGTGTTGAGCATGTTTGGCTAAGCTTATAAATTGTTCAAAACATCTTATAAGAAGTTTAAGAGATTATAAGCTCTTAAAAAGTGTTTGGTAATATTTTTATACATGATCTTAAAAATTCCAAAAATAAGTTGTTGGAGATCTTATAAACTGTTTTTTAAAAACTACTACCTGCCCACCTTTTTTATTTAAGATCTTTTTGGTTTAATTACTTTAGCATTAAAAATACTAAAATACCCTCAAATATTTTAGCATATTCCCTCAACACCCTCCTTCGTATAATATATGTCGTTAAATATTATTACAGCCTGCGTATTATGTTAAACCCTAAGCATTATTGGATAAGAAATATTTCAACGCCATTGATTATTTTCTGGTAAGTACATGAGATCGGTGATTACCAGTACACGTATTTTAGCTTTTCGTTTTGTTTTGCTTGTACACTTTTCATGGATTTTATTGGCCATCATAACCTGTTTTTATTTTTGATTTGAAGCTAATGGAATTTGAAATTGCTGGGATTCTTCATTTGAAACTACTGGCAAATCATACGGATAATAATTAAACTACTGGAATTTTATATCTTATATGTAGGATTTTTCAACATGATACGTTGCAATTTGTTTCCATATCACTTTGATTTCTCTTGATCTTAGGTCTCGACGAAATAGATTTTTTTAATTTATTTTGAAATATAAATATTTTTTTAATTTTTTTTATCAAGAAATAGAAGTAAATTAGAAGAATTAAAATATGGGTTCGTGTGTTAAAATTTGATTCTAGTTCTCTTCTACTGAGATTGAGATGAAAATGTACATTGTTAGTCATATTTTTTTTATTTTAAAGTAGATACCAAGAAAGAATAATTTCATGGATTTTTTTGTCATTTTTGGTCATTGTGATAGTAAACAAATCTTACAATGGCAAACAGTTTATGAACATAAAATGAGTAAAAAGAGTTCATAAGTTTGTTACCCAAACACAATAAAAAATAATTTAAAAAATAAGACGTAACAGTTTATCAGATATAAGAGTTTATCAGTTATTTAAAATAAGTTTAAACAAATGGGAGTTATAAATATAACTATTACTTTATATATATATATATATATATATATATATATATATATATATATATATATATATATATATATATATATATATATATATATATATATATATATATATATATATATATATATATATATATATATATATATATATATATATATATATATATATATATATATATATATATACCCCCTGGAGAAGCGAAAGTACTATACTACCCTTATATGCAATTTTCGCCCAAACTGCATTCAGCATTTCTGGTCCTGCATTTATCATTTTCGCTGATTTATTTATTTATTTATATATATATATATATATATATATATATATATATATATATATAAATATATATTGTTCAAATTTTAAAAAATATACTAAATATAATGTTGACAGTGGGATTCGAACCCACGCCCTTTCGGACCAGAACCTTAATCTGGCGCCTTAGACCAACTCGGCCATATCAACATATTAGTTTAAATTACAATATTCGTTTTTAATCTTCATTTTATGGATAATCTATACACACATTTTTCAATTATAAAAAATATAAATTTCATAATAGATTAATTTGAATTTGATTTTGAATTTTCAAACATTAAAATCTATGAATATACTATATTTGCAAGGAATTAAAATAGAAATTCCAATTAATACGATATCAAAATAGAGAAAATTAGCAAGAACCCCTCTCATCTTGGAAATTTAATTAAGGAATCACCCTATGAGTTCGGACATGTGTGTATGATTCCGTTTTAAATTCCATTGCTCCATACTATGACTTGAATATTTTGATTCGTACATTTATTTTCTAATTGTAATTACGGATTGTAATTGTTTGTATTTTGAATAAACTAATACTAATAATTAGGACCGGCAATTGAGTCAGGCCTACCCCGAGCCCGATGGCTCGGCCCGATTTTATTTGAGCCGAGCCGAATTAATTGTGATCCGGGCCGAGTTTGAGCCTTTTAATTAGACCCGATTAAACTATGGGCCGAGTTTGAGCTTACTATGGCTCAACCCAAATAATGATACTTAAATATATATATATATATATATATATATATATATATATATATATATATATATATATATATATGTGTGTGTGTGTGTGTGTGTGTGCAAAATAGTATAGCAAATACTCCCTCCGTTCTAAAAAGGTGTCGTTTTTCACCTTGGCACAAATTTTAAGAATCTCAATAAATATGTCTTGATTTTAGGAAAATGGATATTGATGGACCAAAATACCCTTGTTTATTAATTAATGCATGAAGAGTGCTATAGAATTAATAAGGGTAAAATTGAAAAATAAGCAATTAATGCAGCATTGGAATTGTAAAATGACAGATAATATGGAACAAAAAAAATTCTCAAAAGAGACAGATATTGGAACAGAGGCAGTAAGTAATATATGCACGACACAGATGGAAACAAGTCAACATACTTAATTAGTAGTAATCAATTTATAAATTTAATCAAAGAATATGAAAAGTTTCCTACATCAAAGATATTAACCGTATCTTAACCTTTTTCTTAATTCATATAAAACATTAAAACTAGAATTTACAGTATCTTGCAAAAGTCACGTTTAGGGTTTCTCTGCATATGTCATCAATAGAGGTAATTTTAATTTATTATTGTTTTTTTTTCTCAATTTTTCTTCAATACAATTTCATATTCTGAGAAAATTAAAGTGAAACCTTGGGGTTATTGTAATTGATTCCAGTTTGTGATCTCAAAAGGTATTAACTATAACTTTGAATACTTATCTTCACCGTTTGACAAAAATTGGTTCATAATTGTTTTATTGAGTTTGTGTTCCCAGTTTTTTTTTTTTGGTAATATATATTACTTTTTTTTGCAATAGATTTAAATATGATGGATATACATTTTTAAATAATGAAATTAAGTGGTAAACTACATGACTGAAGTTATTATTCCTGAATAATATTTGGTCGGACCATTATTTTGTGTTAATAATTATTCATTAGGTACCAACCTATGAAGATGGAGATATGGTCGAGGAACATACTACGACAACATGTTTGAATCATGATACGAAAAGAAAAAGATCAGTAAAATTGAGGTCTGAAGTTTGGAATCACTTCTCAAAAGTTGAGAGCAAAGATGGAGCAAAAGCCAAATGCAAGTGTAACTACTGCAAAAAGGCGTTTTCTTGTCCGAGCAAAGGTGGAACGGCACACTTACTCTGTCATATCACTGAGTTAAAATGTCCGATCTATCGGAAGATGCAAACTAATAAGAATGTCGGTAAGTCTCAAGCTCTTATCCATGTTGAAGATAAAAATCAAATTCAAGATGCTAGAATGGTGTCTTGGCAATTTGATCAAGTGAAAAGTCGAAGTGATCTTGCTGAACTTATTATTATTCAGGAGCTGCCATTTAGTTTTGTTGACGATCCAACTTTTAGGAAGTTCGTTCTTAATTTATGTCCGAAATTCAAGTTTGTTTCGAGGAATACGATAAAGAGCGATTGCTTGAAAATTTATCAGACTGAGAAGAAAAGGTTGAAAGATACTCTACAAACCTTAAGTCCAAGAATTTGTCTCACGACCGACACATGGACATTCAAGACTGAGTTGCCATTTATGGCGCTAACTGCTCATTTTATTGACGATTCATGGAAGCTACATAAGGTAATTCTCAACTTTGTCATTGTCCCAATTAAGGCCAGTGGGGCAGACATAATCACGAATTGTTTAGTAGAGTGGAACATAGAAAAGATTTGCACTATTACAATGGATAATCATTCTGCTAATGACATCGTCGCTGAGATTTTTTCAGAGCAATATTCTTCGAGAGACTTATTATTACTTGGAGGCCGTCATCTTCAGGTAAGGTGTTGGTGTCATGTTCTTAATTTAATTGTACAAGAAGGAATTGGAGAAATCAAAGACTCTATCTAGAGTTAGAAAGACAATAAAGTATGTTAAAGCATCACCGAAAAGAAAGCTTGAGTTTCTTCAGTATGCTGATCAAGAGCGTATACCACGAGGTAAAATGTTGGTCCTTGATTTATGTACAAGATGGAATTCAACATATTTGATGCTTGAATCAGCCTTGCATTTCAGAAAAGTTTACGATCGTATGCGATCGCGGGACATGCAATTCAAAGATCCACCATTAGCAGAAGATTGGGAGAAAGCTTCTGTAATTCACAAGTTCTTGGAGACCTTTAATATTGTCACTAAGATATTTTCTGGGAGTGAGGATTGTACAACAAATGTATTTTTCCGCGAGGTCTATCGATTATTAATATTATTGCGTGAAACCTCAAATGATCTTAGCACGTTATTGAGTAAAATGGCCTTTAATATGCTTTTGAAGTTTGAGAAGTATTGGCTGAATAAGGAACCAAACTTGTTGCTTTCGGTTGCACTTGTTCTAGATCCTAGATACAAATTAAAGTATCTGGAGTTTTGCTACATGAAAATCTATGACAATACATTGGCAACAAGGTTCACAAATCGTGTGAAGTGTGAACTTAAGAACCTGTTTGATGAATATACAATTACTTGCCAAGTTTCAAATCCATTGGAGGGGACTTCAAAAATATCTAAAGAAATTATGCCAGATGATATTTCATCGACGATAGACATGATGGCTGAATTCTATAAACTTGCTAAACAAGAAGATGCAATTAATAAAACAGAGATGGAATTGTACTTGGAGGAGAAGCTGCATCCTGGCCAAATTGTTCAAGAAGATAACTTCAATATTTTAGATTGGTGGAAGTTGTACGCTGCGAAGTATCCAATCATGGCTAGAATGGCTCGTGATATTCTTGCAATTCCAGTGTCATCTGTTGCTTCAGAAAGCGCATTCAGTATTGGAGGAAGAGTTCTGAATAAGTTTCGTAGTTCACTACTCCCTACTACAGTTGAAGCACTAATTTGTTTACAAATTGGATTCGTGGAGATGAAATACAGTGTGATTACGGTGATGAGTTTGACGATGATTTCTCAGGTAAGGGCATTGATTTTATAATAAGTTGTAAATAATATTTTTTTTTTAATTAAATTAATGTATACTGATGTTGTTTGTTTTGTTTTTTTTTTCTTGTGTCTTTTTTTTTTTGCAGGTCTTAAGATTTCGGGAAAGGATTAGGAGTGCATCTAGAGACTATTGCTTTTATTAGTCTTTTGTTTTTTTCATTTCGATTTGGACTTATGCATTTTCTGTCGTTTAATTACTTAAGGATTAATTATTTGTGATATTAGACTTCATATTTTTTAGGAATAGACTATGTCGTTTTATCTTATTTTGATCTTCATGAGTATTTTAAATTTTGCTCTTATGTTGCGAAGGTTTTTTTTTCTTTATTTTTATGAACATGTTTGAGTGCAAAGTTGTAAAAGTAGTCATTTTTTTATCGTTCGATATAAGCCCGATATAAACCCGAAACCCGAAATAATTAGTGAGCCGAGTTTGAATCTATAGGGATAAGGCCCGATGGTATTTGAACTTGAGCCTATACTAATGAGGCCCGATGGTATATGAGCTTGAGCCAACCTAAGCTCGGCTCACATGGCCCGATTGCCAGTCCTACTAATAATAACATTAAAATGTATATTTAACTGTTTAACATTAATTTTTTTACGCATGTATAATTAGTGTCCTGCCTTTTCTTGTACAAAAATGCGAAATCTCTCGCCCCAGTGCCTTTTCTTCTTCAACCTAAGATTGGTTTTTCGTTGCTCAGCCGTTTTCGCCATTAACACTGCTCCAAAGAATCAGAATCACACGTATTGAATCTCATAAAATAATTAGTTAAATTGCAACTTTTAGTAGAATATTTAATTCCTCAATCTATAATTTTTATTAATATTTAACGGATTCAAATATAATTGTATTCCACATGTTTAATTTATACAATCCTAAGTTTTGTTTTTTTTAAAAATACTATTCGCCAGATACTTTGAAATAGTTTTTGTGCTTCCATTTCAAATCTTTCATTGAGGATAAACATACATAGATTAAAATATGTGAACGGTTTCCTCAAAAAAAAAAAAAAAAAATATATGTGAACGGATGCCATGGGAGACCTGAGTACCCAAGATAATCAGAATAACGAAAGGCCCAAGAATATCAGTTTTGTTCACCAACTTGGGTTCCCAAGTCCACGTTCAATAAATTAGTGGCATCCGATTAATGCTATTTATCGGGCTATCCGTTTTAAATGAGCTCCCTTAAGATAATGGTATGTAGTATATATATCTATCAGAAATCGGAATAAATTTTTTGTATTCCAAGTTATTTTGAAAGGAAATTGGAACCCATTTTTTATTTCCGTAAAAATTTAAAATTTTTCAAAAAAAACAATTTTCGATCCATTCAATCCGATTTCCACCCTAGCGAAAGAATGTAAATATCCTAATGTTTTTCCCAATGTTATCAGAACCGAACCGGTTATAGAAACGGACGACCATTTGGGTCATGGGTTTATAGGGTCGAACCGGTTCAACCGGGTTTTTGATTTTTTTCCAATATGCCATTACTTTATAAATTTTAATGTTTTAAAAATATTATTTGCTTTATATTTTTAATCTTCCACTTATTATTTTCACTTTTATCTAATTCACCTCGCTTTTTACTATATTTTATTGCTTATACTCTATATTTTTCCAATTTTTATTCTTCAAATTCGGTAATCGGCCACCCCTATTCGATCACACATGATCATATCTGAAACACGTGGAATTGTTTTTAACTTTCCTATTTTTCTAACTAAATTTTAATTATTAAATAAGTAGTGCTTAGTGGGTTAAGTATAGTAGTTAGTGGGTTAAGTAGTGCTTAAGTTGGTTTAATTGTGAATATTATTCTAACTCCTTAAACTAACCCACTAACCCATTTTCTTGAGTGCTCTTGTGGTTGGTTTTCTTGCAGATCATGGGCTGAGTAGTGGAAGCTTGGAATGTCTATAAATACCGACTTCAAGACTCAAGAAAATTAATCGATTCTACGAAATAAAAACCGAGAGCTGAAGAGAATACGTGATTGTTTTAGTGTGGTTTTAGAATCGGTTGTTTGTACTCTTCATGAGTACATTCTTTACGTACTTATCATAAGTACATTCTTTGTAGTCTAGATTGTTTAGTATATATGTTTCTAGACTTGGTTGTAAGAATGATCAAGATAGTGATTCATTCATAAGTTCTTTACGTACTCCTCACGAGTACATCTTTGAAATCTAGAATTTTTAATATTTTTCTTTTAGTATCTAGATTTGATTGTAAGAATGATCTTGAAAAAGATTCATTCATAAGGAAGAAGTTTTCGCACCTCTTCTGTTTGTATTCTTGGAATACTGATTTTAATATATTTTTCCGTCCTGTAAAGGGCAAGTTCACAAGTCTTTACTTGTGAACATTTTTAATTCTGAGTATTGTTATTTTATCTTTATATTTCCGCTGCATGTTTGTTCAAGTGTCATAACACTTAAGATAACACCTCTGTATTAAACGAATTCGGGACCATAAATTCCATCAATTGGCATCAAGAGCCAACACTTGACGTATACTAAGTGTTTGTTCCTATTTTTCTTTTTTCAGAAACGAATTCGTGATGGATACTCAGATGACTGCTTCTATGCGACCTCCTGTACTCGACGGCACTAACTACACCTACTGGAAAGTCAAGATGAGGGCATACATCAAAGCCATTGATGAGAGAGCCTGGAGATCCATTCTCACTGGATGGAAGGCACCAACAATCACAGATGCAGATGGGGATGTATTTCCAACACCAGAACTACGGTGGACAGCAGATGATCTATCAAATGCCAATCAAAACTCCAAGGCGTTGAATGCAATCTTCAATTCAGTAGATTTAACAATGTTTAAATTGATCTCAGTATGCACTTCTGCAAAGGATGCATGGGAGGTTCTTCAGCTACATTGTGAAGGATCAGACAGTGTCAGGAGAACCAAGCTCAGATTACTCTCTTCCAAATTTGAGAGACTGAGGATGGAAGAAACCGAAACAATTTCTCAATACAATGAGAAATTGATTGATTTAGCTAATGAATTTCAATCCTTAGGTGGTCCTTTAAGCAACGAGACACTGGTGAATAAGGTATTGAGAACTCTCCCAGAAAGATTCAGCATGACGGTTACTGCTATTGAGGAGGCCAAAGACACATCATCACTACGACTGGACGACTTAATTGGTAGTCTAAAGTCTAGAGAGATGAATTTTGAAGATCAAAGAAAGGAGAAAGGAAAGGCTATCTCAAATGCACTTCAGCCAGAATTGGAGAAAGAAGATGTTGCTCCGGAGTTTGATGATGATGCAGAGGAATGTCTCAACAATGTTGCATTCCAAATTCAGAAATTCAATAGGGCATACAGGCGAAGTGGAATCAAGCCCAGACAATTATTTCCAGATGACTCTCCACAAAATCGACAAACTCAGCCCCGGAACAGATCTATTCCACAGAGAACATTTCCTCAAACATCCTCTCAAAACACTTTAAAAAATTCTTCATTTATTCGTTCAAATTCTGAACCACCTAACTTGGATCATATTAAATGCAGGGCCTGTTCAGGATTTGGACATTATGCTAATGAATGTGCAAATAGCTTGAGAAGAAGATGAATGAGTTTGATTTGTGCTGTCAGTGATGAGGAGGAAGAGCAACCTGAACATACAGAGGAGCATCAATCCACTAAACAAGCTCTTTCTATCAGATATATCACTGAAAGTGCTTCTGAAACAGAATCACAAGGGGTTTCTCCAGATGTTGCAACACTTTCTGAAACACTTTCAGTAACTGAAATTTCTGAGTTAAATGATAATCATTATACATGTTTAAACTCTATTTCTTTGAATGCAGTAGAATCCAGCAAAGAAGCAGTTAGAGATGAGGAAGAAATGTGTAAGAGATTGTTCAGTGACTTGGAGAAGAAGACTCAAGCTCTAGATGCAGCCAACAAGGAAAATTCTTCCCTTAAAGAAACAATCACACATTTGGAGGTTGGTATCACCAAGAAGGATCTTGAACTGGCAAAGGTGAAAGATGAACTCAAAGAAGCAACTCTAGCAATCAAGATGATGAATACCGGCACAACTAAACTCGAAGAGATTGTGTCACTGGAGAAGTACAACAAGAATGAAGGTCTAGGGTTCAACAAACAAATGAAGAAACACAAGTCAGTAAAGAAGAAAGAAATTTTCTTTGTAAAAGAGAAGGGTTCAAATGGAAAAGAATGCAAGAATTCCACAGTCACCACTCCAGAGTCCAGAATAAGGGAATACATTTGTCATTACTGTTTCTCACCAGGGCATATTCGTCCATTTTGTGAAAAACACAGTAGTGATAAAATGTTGTACATAATGAGTCACATCACTCCAGGCAACACCTCAAAGAAAAAGGTAGAATTTACCAAAAAGGAGTGGAGAATATGGACTCCCAAAGGTAAACTTATGTGCAAAGCAGTATACACTTCTTTAAATGCTAACATTTCAGGTTCATGGTATTTTGATAGTGGATGCTCTAGGCACATGACTGGAACAAAAGAATTTCTATCAAACTACCATACATTCAATGGAGGACGTGTAACCTATGGAGGAGGAGCTAAAGGCAAAGTGGTTGGACGTGGAACACTCAGCATTGAGGGACTTCCAAAACTTTCAAATGTCTTACATGTTGAAGGATTGGGGTCAAATCTCATCAGTATTAGTCAATTGTGTGATGATGATCTACGTGTTCAATTTGATAAATACTGTTGTTCTGTGTTTGATAATCAAAATCATTGTGTACTGACAGGTTCCATGTCAATGGATAATTGTTATCAAACAGGTGATACCATCTCATGCAAGAGCTCAAGAGTAAGTGAAGTAGAGCTGTGGCACCAAAATCTAGGGCACACAAACTTCAAAAATCTGAAGTTGCTCAACAAGTGCAATGCCATAAGAGGAATTCCAGATCTCAAGATCAAGGACATTCCTATATACGGAATGTGCCAGAAGGGAAAGCAAACTAGAGTGCCACACAAAGTGTTACAACACGTTGGTACCACCATTTGTTTTGAACTTGTACATATGGACCTTATGGGTCCTATAGAGGTAGAAAGTCTAGGTGGTAAAAAATATGTATTTGTGTGTGTTGATGATTTTTCGAGATATACTTGGGTG